GCCCTTGGCCGAGAAATCTGCTTTAGGATGCCCTGGTGTGAGGATGCAAGTCTGGAATCCGGGTGCCGGTCCTTTAACTGCACCCCATCTTTTTGATTATATCGAAAATATATCTCAAAACACATCTGCTTTTGAAATACCACATTTCTCGTGGCATTATCCATCCACAGGCTGTGGCACAGATAAGGAGAGCAGTGGATGGAACAACAACAGTGGGAAATCCTGCTGGGTTTTCATCAGCTTTGAGGAGGCATTTTTTCAGTGGAAATCTTTTGTCTGGAAAACGCCTTCCCATTGTAATTGAAAGGGTCTATAGGAAGAGGTTTGTTTGGACAAATTTTCTGCTAAGTGTTTCTAGGACAAGGAAAACCAAATTGGAAATGTGCCAGACCTTCCCAATTCAGCAATTTCAAAATAACAGTTTGAACTTCCCTTATTTGAACCTCCCTTCAGAAATAACCATGAGAATGGAGAAATTTAATTTAGGAAATGATAAAATAACAAAATACTGAATTTGCACCAAGCAAAAGCAAGAAAGGCCTGTGTGGGACCAGGCAGGTGTTAGTGTTCAGCCTAAGTTGATTCTGTGTCTCCTCAAGGTTACATCCATCTCCCCCAGGGCAGGGAGCCTTGTTCCAGAGCGCCTAATTCCCTTTTCCAGCTGCTGGTGTGCCAGCAAACCAGTGGCACCATGAAGCCTGACTGCCTTTCTCCTAAGCTGCTGCTTTGCCTTGTGCAGAAGCTTCCCCCAGGGGCTGCACCACCTTTGGCACTTGCTGTAAAATTGAAAATTAAATTAAAAAGCCATGTTGGGGCTGTTGGATCAGCGCAGAAGAGGGAGGCAGGACATTCCAGGGAAGGCCAGTTTGGTGGGAGAGGTGTGACGGTGCTGTGACCATGGAGCGGGACGGTCCCTGCCCCTGATTTTAGACAGGTGGCTTTGAGAGGACAGTGATGCTGTCGAGACTGAAGGATGGAGGGTGGCATCCCTTCCACCTGTACTGCAGCACTAGGTGCTCCTGGAAGCTGGAATTCTGGGATTCTGGGCAGTGCCTCTGGGATTCCCACTCCGTGGACCTTGGCATGGTACAGCCCAGCCAGGGAAGGAGCCTGACCCCCTCTGTGCCATTGCTGCCCCATAAAAGCCCTTCTGAGCAGTTTTAAAAGGAAAAGCAGCATTCTGGGTGGGCATTAAGGAGTGTCACAGGGTGGCCAAGGCACTCAAAGGCCCTTGGTGTGATCCTGGCTCTTGATCCCAGGCACAAATCCCCCCTCAGCAGTGTTAGCCTCTAATAAAGAGAGAAAATTTCCAATCTGTGTGCTCTTATTTCTTGGAATTATACAGCTACAAACTGAATTGGTTTCTATATTCTACAGAATGAGATGATCTTTCCTTTCCAACACAAACCATTCTATGATTCTCTGCCTTTTAAAAATCCCATTATTACCAGCACAGTGGCTGTAACCCGAGGCAGCTTCTATGGTTTAATGATAAAACCTCGAAGTTGGAGACACATTATTTTATATTCCTTTGAATCTATTCCAGCTCCCAGCTACTACAGCTGTCAGCAAAGGAAGAGGGGCCTGACAATGCAGGGAAAAGCAACCTGTCATCCTTTGGAGCAGGAAACCAGCTCCTTCATCCCACACCTCGGCTCAGATGGGAAAGAGAAGCTAAAGAATAATTACCCCAAAGCAGCAGAATTATTACAGCAAGGACAAGATGTGCTCTGCATGAGCCTTGCATGGGGCTTTGTATTGATACTAATGAGAGCAAAAAGTGCAAATAAAAAGTATTTTTGAGGAAAACAATGTCCTGTACATTGAAACATTCCTCCTTGACTATTTCTTGACAAAAGTCACTTGCTCCAAACACCTCGGCAGAAGCACTCCTTTCATTAACCTGCAAACAAATCTTTGTATTCCAGCAGTGCCAAATAAACCCTGTAAACGTGACAAAACCACGTTTTCCCAGCAGCCCGACTGCTGCCACCCCTGAGCTGCAAGGCTGAGCTGTCCCGTGGCAGCTCCCAGCCTCTGCCCCGTTGCTTTTGGAGCCCCCCGCGGACCCGGGCCCCCCAAATCTCCCCGTCCGGCAGCGCCTGGTGCTCGCCGGGGTGCGGAGCAGCTCACCTGGGAGCAGCAGGAGGAGCCAGAGCAGGGGATGGAGGGACGCGAGCGGCATCTCCGCGCTGCTTTGCGGCTCGCGGAGCCTCTGGCCATCCCGGGAGGGACCGCGAGCAGCGATTCGGCTGCCTGGGCTGACTCTCACACAGCTTCCTGTTAAAGAATAGGAGGAAACGGGCTCAATCCACAGGGGAACTGTGTTTTTCAGCCCATTATGGCCGGGGAGGATGTGAGACATCGCTCACCGGCGGCAGAGGAAACCTCGCCGGGCTTTGCCGGGGTTCGGTCCCGCTCGGAGCGATGCCCTGCTCTGGGCCTCAGCGCCTTCCTTACGGTGCCGGGGTTTTTTGGGAGGTGTTTTGTGTGTGGTGCGATGTGCCCCAGGTCCCATCCCCCCCACATCAGCCTCCCTGGGGTAAGAGCTGCTGGAGGAGCCTCCCCAGCACCTGAGGGGAGGTTTCTTACATATCCATGAGGAATTTAGGATAACTGCTCCTTGTGGGGCCAAGGTGGCTCAGCAGCTGGGCCTGCCTGTACCCTGTGCCTACCTGGGCAGCTCCAGCGAGTCTGGGCAGGGGGACGTGCCAGCTTTGGCATGGTGGCTTTGGGATGGTGGCTTTGGGGGGCTCCTCTTCTGGCAGCACAGCCTCCCTCCCTGCAGGACACACAGCACATGCTAGTCTTGGACCTACTTCATTCCCAGTTCCTGGAGAAGGGCAGGAACTGGAAAACTGGGCTGGTTTTGCCCCCATCCAGACCAAGGGGCTCAGGCATTTTGTTTCTTGGCCCTGACCTTGTGTTGTGCTGCTCTGTGTAGGTCCTGCCTGTCACAGTGTGAACCCCAGAGGTTCTGGTTTATCCTGTGCTGGGTGTCAGTGGTGTTTGCAGGAGGAGAAGCATTTCAGTGTCCTCACCTAGGAAAGGCTCCTGTGTCCTTCTTGGGGGGTCTGTGTGGGTGTTCAGGATGCACAGCCAGAGGATTCTGTCTGCTGGTCTGAGGGGTTTGTCCAGGCGCCTCCCACAGCCCCCAAAAGCCACAGAGCCTCAGCCAAAGGCCAAGGAGATTCTCCTTCACTGCATAGAGAGCATCAAGGGTGTCCTGTGCTGCCAGCAGGATCCTTGCTCCTACAGCTGGCAGACAGCAGCAGCACTGGTGGGAATCATCCCCCATGCATGGCACAGCTCCTCACATTCCATGGGTGTCTTCCAACCCCTCCAAGCCCCCAGGAAAACCACCAGGCCCAAGGCTGGTGGCCTCCACAGCAGCCTTGCTGGGAGAAACCCCCTTCCAGCAGCCCCCCCCCCCCCATCCTTTTGTCCCTTGCACAGATGTGACGCTCAGAGATTATGCTGTAGATTAAGGTTTTACTGGATCCTGAAATGAGTGCAAATACCCAGAAGCTCACACGCAGTTGAATCTCTTCTGGATGCTCTGCTGGACGAGAAAAGGCATTTCCCATCTTGTCCTCCCCAAGTGCAGGAAGGACAGAGCCCAAATATTCACCCCAGCCTGTCTGCTGAGAGCCTGCAGGTAAGAGCAGTGGTGTTTTGGGGTGGAAGGATGGGAAGATTTGTTTTGTAACAGCTGAAACTGTGAGAGATCCATATGTTCTGCTCTGCGATGTGCTCAATGTCACTGCTGGGCAGAGAGTGTGACACACGGCACCCCTGGGCCAGGGGGATGTACCTGTGTGCAGGGTGGGGACACGTGTGAGGGGAGGGATGTGCCAGCCCTGACCTGGCTCTGGCTCCTGCCTGTGACCCCCAGCAGCTCACACAATCCTTTAGGTTGGAAAAGCCTCCAAAATCATTGAGTCCAACAATTGAACTGGGGGCCCAAAGCATCCAGAGCTCCCCATGGACTCACCCCACAGCCGTGCTGGCAAATGGGTAAATTCTGCAGCAGTGGGACCCCCATCATCCCCGGGGGCTGTGCCATGCCTGGGGACAGGGCCCTTCCAGCCTGGAGCACAGCGTGGGTGTGCCGGGCTGTGCAAACAGCTCACAGGCCGAAGGGGATTTTTTACACCCATTCCTTCACCACATTCAATTTTCACGCCCCGCCGGTGGCAGCCAGGAGGCTTCCTGCAGCCGAAGGGGGAAGGGAGGGTGCTTCTCCCCGGACAAAAGGGCCCTTGTCCCGCCGCGGGGGACAGGAGGGTCGCAGGGCGGCAGCGCTGATGTGGCAGCGGCCGGGACGGGAGCGGCGCTGCCCGCGGGATGAGCGGGCGCTCCGCGTGTGCCCCGGGGAGTCCCGGCGGCGGCGGGGCCGGGCCGTGACGTGGCAACTTCCGAGGTGAGTCCGGCTGCACCTTCACCGGAGAACCAGCCCGCGGCTCGTCCTGCTCGCCCCGCCGGCAGCTTCCCAGCCCCGCCGCCGGAGATGATGATTCCCAGGCAGCAAGGACACCCAGGTACCCCGTGGGGCTGGCAGGGCTCTCCTTCCTTCTTTTGCCATTGTTGCCTGCTCCCACCCGTGCTGGCTCCACGGGATCTTGTCTCTTGCGAAAGACGACTGATGGGGTTGGGTCCCCCTGGGAGGTTCCCGTGGGGTTTGTTCCTGGATCAGGTCCGTGGGGCTGGGGGTGGAGAGAGGAGGGCAGAGGGCTCCCCACAAGAGCCAGGTGTAGTGTCCAAAGGCGCCCAGGACAGGAGGATGCAGGGATTGCCTCATCCTGCAAGCCCCAGACTTCACCACCAAAACTTCCCCCGTGCTGCGAGCCCGAGGGAGGGGACGCTCACGGGGTTGTCCCATTCCCTGGCAGCTGCACGTGCAGGCAGGAGCTGCGGGTTCGAGGGCAGAGATGAGGATAGGGACGGGCTCAGCTCGGTGGTCATCGCCTGTGTCCCGTGCCAGGTCACCCCGCTGAGCCATGAACGCCTCGGTGCCCGGCAGCCAGCTGAGACAGCCCGAGCTCCAGGACATGGCTGCCTTCACCCCCGTCTCCATCGTCAAGAGCGTGACCAAGAAATCGGACGCGCTGCCGGTGATCTCGGTGATCGTCGTGCTCTTCGTGCTGCTGGCCGTGTTCATCGTGCTGGTGGTGCACTACGGCCCCCAGCTGCGCACGGTGCAGGTCACGCTGCACCACGAGCCCATGGCCCAGCACATGGACAGCGTGCTCCTCACGGACTGGAGGCGCCTGGATGCCCACGGGAAGATGGGCTCGGCTAGAGTGACCTGCCACTGCTCCTGCAACCACCACCTTCCCCACGGGAGTGCTGAGCCCAATGTCATCGAGATCACCTACCTGTGACACAGCCTGGGGCCACCTGGGCAGGGCTCGAGGGACGTGTCCCACCGGAAAAGCTGGGATGGGATGTTTGGGTATCCCGGGACTCGCTGCTGCCCAGACACAGAGGCTGCACCGCCCCAGACCCGTGTCTGGCCCCAGGAATGCTCAGCCAGGAGGTTCAAGACCCATCTCCAGCCCCCAAAAGTACAGCTCAGGGGTGTCACTGTCCCCAGGCAAGAGCTGGGTCCCAGCCTGGGCTCTGGGGCTGGCTCAGCCTATGTGGGACAGCTTTAGCATCTCTTCTGGTTTTACCTGTCCTGGTTTTACCTGTCCCACACTGCCTGGGAGCGGCCAGCAGAGCTGCCTTGGTCCTTGCCCCAGCTGGGGAGCTCTGCGGCTGTGCTCGTTCCCCTGGCAGTAGCTGGAAGTTGCATCATCTGGAATTGTTTTCCAGTGAAAGATGTTTCCACACTCACGGTGTCCTCATTAGATGTTTATATGACACAGAGGAGCTTCCAGCCCCTCTTTGCCTCATGCCACAGCCCCTTTTCCCACACTGGGGGTTTGGAACATGATCCTGCCCCTGCCAGCCCCCCCAGCCCCTCGGGCAAACAGCCAGAGGAGAGGAGGGCAGAGGATGCAGCTCCTGATTCCGTGCTGGGTGGAGCCAGTGACACGTGTCCTGTCCCCACTGGAAGTGGGTGAGAGAAGAGCGGTGACACAGCAGAGGCAAGAGGTGATAATGGCACATCACAGCTGGCTGGATATCTGGATGTGCTGGCACCAGAGGGGAAGCTCATGTGACTCTGGGCAGAGCCTGCAGCATCTCTGTGCAAAGGGATGGGGAGACCTGAGGTCACCCTCACTGTGGTCATCTCTCTGTCCCCATCCCTGAGTGCTGTCCCAAGGGGGGAGCGATGGTGGGGTTGGCACTGTCACCCTCAGTGGGGTGGTGTTGAGGTGGCTCTGTCACCCTGTGGAGAACCTTGTTGAGGTGGCACAGAGGGATCAGGAGAGGTGAAACCGAAGCCCTGCAGGCTCCTGGGGCTGTCAGAGCACGGTCCCTGTTCAGCCCTGGGGTCTCTGCTGCTGCAGGCACTGGGATCTCTGCAGTCTCAGTTTCTCCTCCCGTGGTGGGTGCAGGACCTCAGTGTCTGCAGTGCCTGGGGAGGGAGCAGCCTCTGAGATTCCCTCGAGGATTCATTCTGCTGGACAGCCCCAGAAATCAGGATACAGATTCCACCTCTCCCATGCTGGAAAAGCCAGGTTTGTGTCTGCCCTCAGATCCCTGGCACAGATCCCTGTGGGCACAGATGGACAAGAGATGGCTTTACCTGTTCCTCCAGGTGCTGGAGGTATTCCCAACATGCCAGATGCTTCAGGATCCCTCCTCTCACTTATTTCCATCTCTTTTCTTGCTTTAAAGCTGGACTTGCTGGAAACCTTTTGTCTCCGCAACAAATATAATTTATATTACTTTTTGGGAGGGTTGTTTTTTGTTTTGAATTTGTTCCTATTTGTTTTCCAGGGCTGATAGGGCATTATCAGCTCTCTCACACCTTGTTAGAGGAGATAAGGACTGTCATTTCCATTGAAAATCTTGGAGTCTTCCTCCACTTTCCATGTCAAAAGAGGACTTTTTTTGCAATGTGTATCCCTAACAGCACCCCTGAGGAGATAATCACCTCTAGGGACTTCTCCTAATTAAGAAATCCTTTCTGGAGGTGGGCAGGCCCTGGCACAGGGTGCCCAGAGCAGCTGTGGCTGCCTCTGGATCCCTGGCAGTGCCCAAGGCCAGGCTGGACAGGGCTGGGAGCAGCCTGGGACAGTGGAAGGTGTCCCTGCCCATGGCATGGGGTGGCACTGGATGGGATTGAAGGTCCTTTCCAACCAAAACCATTCCATGATCTCTTTAAATGACATCTGTAGATTGTGGTCACCCCCACCAAGAGCTGGAGAAAGCCCCTTGTGACCATCACAAGATCTGCACTGTGACACCCAGAGAGGCTGCACCCTCCTCCTGGGGACATCAGCCAGTGTCACCTGCCCTGGCTGAGGCAGCAGGGTTGTCCCCAGCTTTGGTGGCTGTGCCATTCCTGCTCAGGGAGCAGCTCCATCCAGCACAAAGCCTTTAATTAGAGGAACAGGAACTTTTCTGGCAGCTCCCTCTGAAGGACACCCACAGCAGGGAAACGTCATGTTTAGAGAGAAAAGATTAAACACGTCTAAATATTAATAAAGAGAAAGACAAAATGGGTAATTATTGCTGGCACTTATTGATTTGCAGCTGCTGGGGACTCGTAAAGGTCTGATTGATGTCACAGCGTGCCAGGGCCCGGATCCATCACTTACCCTGTGCAGCACAGGGAGCGCACCCTGGGCTGTTGTTCAGGTGTTTTGGGCTGTCAAACTAAAATCAAATCAAGGTGGCAGTGGAAGGTGGTGCTGCTGGGTGCCCCCTGCCCCCATCCTGTCAGCAGCCCCCTGCACTCTGGGAAGATCCAGCCCTGAAGCCCCAGCCTTGGGGAGTTCTTTCATTTGCAAACAGAAATGTAGATACAAGCTTTTGGAGCACAGGAAAGAAATTACTGTAAGACTTAGAATAGCAAATTAAATCATACAAGCGAGCGACAATATGCTGCCAGCTTTCTCCTCCAGAAGGACATCAAGGGTTAGATCTCAACTCATTGCTTTCTCCCACACAATAAAACATCATTTTTACAGCTTCTCCTCGTTTCTCTTTGGCCAGCTCTCCCTCTCTCTGCTCACAGAATTGCTTTTTGTAGCACCAGGCTTTATAAAACACATCAGGGTCCTGGAGCAGCAGAGCCGTGCATGACATTACCATAACATTATTCCTGTCTATTCAAACACCCAGCCTGGCCCAATTTACTTCACTTACAACTTTCTTCCCCTCCTTAATAATAATTCTTTTATGAGCACGGAGCAACAATAACTCTCCTTATCGTCTCCTCAGTGCAGGGCAGCTCCTGGAGCCCGGCAGGCAGGAGCTGCTTTGCTCAAAACCAGGTTTTTGCCTGGAGAAGCTTTCAGGAGCTGCTACATCGGTAATTAACTCTGTCCTCATCAGGGATCACTCGCATCCCCTTTTATTTCCTCCCCTAATTAAGGTGTTGCCCTGCAGGAGGGGAGGCACCTCTACAACCCCCCCAGAGGAGGGTTTGGGGGGGGGGGTACAGCAGAGTTTGGGGGAGACTGCTGTGATGCTGCAGTGTTGCCTAAAATCGTGTAAAACTCAGGGAAACGCCCTAAAATCGTGTGAAAGCGAGGGAAACGCCCTGAAACTCTGCAGAACCAGGGGAAACACCCTAAAATCGTGTGAAACCGAGGGAAGCACCCGAAAACCGTGCCCGACAGAGGGGAGGCAGCTGCAGCATCGCCCAAGCCTCCCTGCAGGGCTGGGGGCGGCGGAGCCCCCCGGGACCGTCCGCCGGGGGAAGGGTGGTGGCAGCCCCGCTGTGGGGGGAGTCTGGGGGGCTCAGCACCCCCAGCCCCTCGGGCGGCGCCGGGGACAGGCGGGGACAGCGGCGGAGCCCAGCGCGGAGCAGCAGTGGGCTCTCGTGGTGGAGGGATCCAACTGCACAGCGCAGGCACCGCCGGGACTGCGCCTTCCCCGGCCTCGGAGGCACCGGGAGCTCCGGGCGGGCAGCGCTGGAGGAGCCCGCAAGGACTCCCGGGTGCTTGGTGATGGTGGTGGAGGATGAGCAGCCCGGGCCAGGCTGGAGCGGGTGGCACGGCGAGGTCACCTTCAGCCGGCGTCACCTGCTGGTTGTATGGGGACGAGCTCAGGGAGAGATGGGCCACCCCAAGGGAAGGTCCCTCCATCTCTTGCAGAGCTCCGTACCTGGTGTGAGAGGGGGATTCACGCCTTTCCTCCAGAGAAAGGGCCCCCAGGAGCCCCGCAGGTCCCTGCAGGCAGCTGGGGACGGGGAAGGCTCTGGGCTCCCTTGTGCAGCTGCACCTCACGCATCTCATGCTCAGGGAGGGATTGTTGGCCCACTGAAAAGGGAGTGACACTTCTAGAGGAGCAAAGGCTGTCTTTGAAAGGCTGAAAATTCATGGAATCACAGAATATCCACAGTTGGAATGGACCCACAAGTATCATCCTGTCCAGCTCCTGGCACTGCACAGACACCCCAACAATCCCACCTGAGGCATGCCTGGGAGCGGTGCCCAAACCCTCCTGGAGCTCTGGAGGCCTTAGACACTGGAAAGGGCTTCAAGTTCTGCCTGGAGCTTCCTCTTGTCCAGGCGAACATCCCCAGCTCTCAGCCTGTCTTCATCAGAGAAAATTATTAGATGTGAAAAAGCCTCTTCACTCTCATTTCGAGCTGCCCTCCGCTCCCTGCTGTGTTGTGGCACAGCTCCTGGTCCCAGGCTAGCACTGTGTCAGCCCAAAATGACAAAGTTTGAAGACCTCCAGCTGTGCAGTGGAGCTTGAAATAACCTGGTGGTGCTGCTCTCTGCCAGGTGATGGACAGGGAGAGTGGTGCCTCCAGCACAGCTCCGCACCCCTGGGAGCTCAGAGTGTGCCTGTGCCCTGCCATGGAGCCTGGAGAGCAGCTGAGCTGCAGAGACCCAGGTTGGCATTCCTGAAAATGGCATTTCCAGCCGCTCTGGGCACTGACAGCATTGGGCAGGAGCTGAAGGAAGCATTGCACACAGTGAATGCATGAAGTGCTGTAAGAATTCAGTGTAGCTGAGGCTCTTCCTGAGATTTAAATGAAAGGGTTCAGGTGCAGTCTGAACCTTAGAGGGGGTATTTTGTGTTTGTAGCCACCACAGCGTCCATGGAGGTCCTGAAGCACATCGGGAGCCTGCTGGGGTGTGAACAGGAAACAGGAGGAGACACGTTTTGTTTTTAGCACCAGATCTCATTTCCGTGCCTGTGCTTCTGGCAAGTCTCAGCTCGACCCCGTTTTTCTTTCCTATTTTCTTGCAGCTTTACTCTGTCCATCTCCCTCCACAGCACTGATTTGCAGCTCAGCCATGCTTTTGCA